TTGGAAGGGACCCCAAAGCACCCTCAGTCCCACCCCTGCCATGGCTGGGTGCCACCTCCAGCTTGGGTTGTCCAGGGCCCACCCAGGCATGGGGCACCCACAGCTCTGGTAATGCCGGGGCCTCACCACCCCAGGAGAAAAGAATTTCCCCCCTCGTATCTGACCTAAATCTCCCCTCTATTAGCGTTAAGACAAGGGGGGGAATGGTTTAAAACTATCTGCTTACATCACAAGTCCTCCTCCTCCCATTCCGAGCTCCCTCTAAGTACTGGGAGGCTGCAAAGAGCTCCGGGTTGCACGAGAAGGAGAGTCACGTGGCGTTCAGATGCAATACAAAAGAACTATTTTTAGTTTGCATATAGAAACACTGGGGGAAAAAAAAAAGACGCGCGTTCGCCCAGCTCGTGGTTTAACACAGCATCCAACAGGGACAGAGCTTGGAACAAAAGCCACTGTGAAACCCAAACAAGCAACGATTGTCCCTCCTGGCAACCCCCAGCCCGAGGTGGCAAGAAGCAAAGTGGCCCCGGGGAGCAAGGAGCGGCTGTGGGAGCACCCAGTGCCATGCTGCACGGCGCAGCCGTACCCAGGGCTGTAGCCAGGGCTGCTGTACCCATGCCAGCGCTGTCATTTGTTGCTGTTTATTTGCCAGGCAGCTGAGAAATCCGAGCGCTGTCGAAATGCCGGAGTCAATGATTTGCCAGCTCGCTCCCGCCACTCGGAACGCTTTGAGAACGGGCTGTTGAGAAATAGGAAGTCTGCTGGAGCATTCAAGCCTTTTCTTCACCAGCAAAGTTTCTTTAATTAATGACTCATCCCCACAAACGCTTCCCAACAAGCTGCATCAACAGCCTGGGTGAAATCAGAGAAAATCCCCTAACCTTGCCGCCACCGCCGATGACAACGAATTGCTGGGCAATTACTCAGGGCGTGGGGAGGCTCTGTGGGCAGAGCCGCCCGGTACAGCCGTGTGAGTCACGGGGCGGAGGGGAAAACGCTGTAACATTGGCTTCCAGACAGATATTTTCAGCCACCAGCTCACACACAGCCCCCACATCCCACCCCCCCCCACCGGAACAAGAGCAGAGGGGAAGCCCATGCATGCAGGGATGCTGCTCGCCATCAGCTCGCCCCAAAGGCACGTGGCTGGGGACAGCGGGCACAGGGCCACCCCTGCAGGTGTCCACGCGCCATAAAACAGTGCTCTTAAAGCCATGTCAGAGCCTTAAGGTTGGAAAAGACCTCTCAGATCCCCAGTCCATCCCACCCTGCCCGCTGACCACATCCCGCGGTGCCACAGCTCTGCAGTTCATCCACACCTCCAGGCACGGCGATCCCACCATGCCCTGGGCAGCTGTGCCAGAGCATCACTGCTCTTTGCATACGAAATTATTCTTAAAATTGGATATTAGGAACCCCCTGCCCTCCCTTGGCAGACATTGCACACCACAAGGTTTCAGTAAGGTTTGCCATTCAGAGAATCAACATAGAACGCTTGGGTTGGAAGAGACCTTAGGAACCACAGAGCTCCAAGCAGGGCCTCCGACCACTACATCACGAGGTTCATTTCCACAGTTGTGGTTTGTTGTAAGGGCGACACTCAGAATCACCAAACTGTATGGGTTGGGAGGATCACAGCAGGCTGCAGCCATATGCATTATCATGGCACATTCCTCCAGTGACGCTGCGTGCCCCACCGGATGGATAAAGCGGGGGCAAAGCTCGTGAAAAAGAAAACAAACAAAAAAGAACAGAAAAACAAAGCATGGATCCTAAGGTGCCCTTCCACCTGTACAAACAGCACAGCCTTATCACAGTGTTCTGCTCCCCCCCCCAACAGCAAAAGCTCTGGGGGCCGAGGGTCTGACACCTCCCCCAGCTGGGACTGTTCCTCGTGGGGCAGAGCAAAGCCCTGAGGTTTCCAGGCTGGAAGATGGGGATGGAGGTGGTCACAGGCACCTGAAGCATTGCCCTACAGCATCAGGGCAGCCCAGCAGGTTTGCAGTTACCTTTTGGGGAATTCTATTCAATGCAGGGCAGAGAACAGCCAGCCAAAGGTCTGTCTGGAAGGTGAGAGGCTCCGCACGCTGCTCAGCACGGAGGGGTTCAAGCACACAGAGCCAGATCAGATTGTGGAGCTGAGCTGGGTTTTCCAGCAGCACACCTTTCTTTCTTCTGCACACAACAGGTGGGACCGGTTGCATAGAGGGGCCCACAGGCAGAAGCCACCCAGCATGGCACACACCTCCACCTTCAAACTTCCAAAATGCTCAGCACCAAGCACAGGGGGTGAAGCAGTTCAGCACAACCCTCTGGAGTAACCCGGGTCAAAAGGACATGTACAGCATGAGCACCAAGCCATGCATATCAACACCTGCTTGCATTGCATTGCAGCACCCCGATACTGCACTCGCAGTGCATTTATACTGCAATGCCACCCTCAGTTTGCATCATTCGAGACCATCCAGAACCACGAATTCCGCTTACTCCAAGCAGATAACATACATCCCTTCCCCATGCCTGTATCTCTCACGCCGTGGTTTGCTTTTATTTGCAATACAATCCATCTGGTCTGTGACAGAGCTCTGGGCCGCCACGTGGGAGCCGAGGGGTTAAACCACACACACAGCAGCGCTCACTCACCCGGCTGCGACGAAGCGGGGCAGCCGTAAAAACAGAGGTCAACATCAGAAAATATCCCGTGAGTCATGAGCAGCGATTACTCACCGCACGACTCAACTCAGCAGCACCCGGAGCTCCTGGGTGAGGAAACCGCAGCCTTTCCTCCGAGAGGAGCAGGGAAGGAGTCACGCTGTCAGCTCATGTCCATAACGGGGCGGTGGGAGGACGGCTGCTCTCCTCCCACGGCCCCAGCGTGACGTGGGGGAGGAAGAGAGAGGGGTTTGCAGAGCTCCCCACGCTGCTGAGGGATCCCACTGATGCTGGTTGGTAGGAATGGAGGGGATTTGTTCATCCTAGAGATAAGCAGCAGTGCCAGTGCTGCTTGTTTTGGAGCAGAGGAGATACGTGCTGCAGTGGGAACGCACCTAACGTGCTCAGCCCAGCATGGACTGCATGCCTTCCCCTCTACCTTTGAGAACCCCAAAGCAGACAGCAGCCAAACCCAATTGGGGAGGTGTGCCATCCCCTTCCCCAGTATCCCACCTCCCCTCCTATGGGTTTAGAGATGCTCTGTTTGTGTCCAAGGGAGCACAGCAGTGCCTGCAGCCGCTGCCAGCAGGGCTGAGCCAACACGGGGCCGCAGCTCAGCACCGTGTCAGCACACGGAGCACAAAGCACACAATTTATTGCCAAAGCTCCAGAGTTCATCCACCACTGCAACGGCTGCGTCTGTGTGTGTTTGTGTGCGTCTGTGTCACAGAGCCAACAGCAGGAAAGAATGGATCAGCTCTGGATGAACCATTGCTGGTTCCAATGTTACCGGGGAGGCAGCTGCAGTGCCCAGAGGGGTCAAAGCTGGACAGTCAGGTTCTGCAGCACTGCCGTGCAAGGACATCGCTCTGGCAGCAACTGGATGGGAGGCGGGGGAGGGGACAACCCCACCATCCTCAAAGTATAAGTCTTCTCCTAAATTAACTAAAAAATCATCACTCCCTATGCCAGAAAGCCTTAATTTCCCTCATCCGAAACACCCTTATTTCCCAAGCACTCCCCACGCTGCAAACAGCACGCTAACACACACGGGGGGGTTGGGGTAGGGGGGTTTACACGGCGCAGGGCTCGTTTTGCCACAGCTGTCAGCAGTTCAGCGCTCGCACATCAGCCCGTCGGTGCTGCGCAGCGGCTCCGAGCCGCGCTCCTGCTGGCGGCTTCACGTTTGGCAGCGCTGGGAGCACCGAACGGTCGCGGCGGTAACTTTCAGTTTCTGAGGATTTGAGCGCAGCGCGCGCAGACGAAATGACGGAGCTGCGGCTGCACGGCGCCGTGCTGAAGTCCATTGCAGGGGAAGGCGGGAGGCAGAACTGCAAAGGGCAGATAGGAGCTGCAGCTCCGGAGCGATGCGTTCCTATCGCAGCACGCAGCTGTGCCCGGCACGTCCCTGAACAGAACGGCGCTCGGGTTGGGGATGATAGGAGCGGGTGCGCGTGGGTTGGCACACGTGTTGCACGCACAGAGCTGCTGCTGCACCGTGATGGGATGCGGGGGGGGGTGAAGGAACAGCTCCGGGCCGGGATGGGGGTACTGCGTGGGGCTGGGACGTGGGGATCCCCAAGGGTGGGAAATGGGGACCAAGGACGCTGCTTAGGGCTGGGAAGTGGCACCTACAAGAGTGGGACGTGGGGATCCCCAAAGATGGGATGTGGGGACTGAGGGCACTGCTCAGGGCTGGGATACGAGGATCCCCAGGGCTCTGCTCAGGGCTGGGACGTGGGGAGCCCCAAGGTTAGGGCACGGGGAGCAAGGACACTGCTTGGGGCTGGGACATGGCAACCTCAGGATCGGGACATGGGGACCAAGGGCACTGCTCAGGACCGGGACACGGGGACTGAGGGCACTGCTTAGGGCTTGGACACGGCACCCACAAGGGTGGGACATGGGGACCCCCAGGGGTGGGACACGGGGACCAAGGACATTGCTTGAGACTAGGACATGGCACCCACAACGATGGGACACGGAGACCGAAGGCGCTGCTCAGTGCTGGGACACGGGGACTGAAGTCACACAGCTCTCAGGTCAGGGACACGGAGACCCTCAGGGCACCGACACGAGGACCGAGGGCAGCGCTCGGGGTTTGGAACGCGGGGACCGAGGGGAACGCAGCTGGCAGGGCCGGGCCACGGCAACGAGAGCAGCGCTCGGGGCCGGGATACGGGGACCCTCAGGGCACAGAGATGTGGGAAGCAAAAGCAGCGCTCGGACACGGAGCCGGCAGCGCTCGGGCGGCGGAGGCACAAACAAGTGACACGGGGACACCGCGACGCGCCGACGGCTGAACCTGAAGGGCCGCACCGCACCTCCCCCCCCCGCCCCGTACTCACGTAGACGGGCAGCGGCCACGGGTACACGGCGGGCTCGGCTCCCACCGGCGACTTGAGGCGCAGCTCCAGCCGCTCGCCCATGGCACAGCCGGAGGCCCCGCACCATGCTACGGGGCGGCCGCGCGCTGCGGGGTGGGGCCGGGCCCGGGCGGCGCGGCGCGGTGCGGTGAGGCGGTGCGGGGCCGCAGGAAGGCGGGGAGGACCCGCGCTCCCACCCCCCCGCGCCGCCCTCTATTGTCGGGAGCGGCTCGCGGGGCTCTCCGGCGCCGCCGCCATCTTGGGCCGCCGGCGTGAGGAGCACAATGAGCGCCGGGGCCGGGCCGGGGGCGGGGGCGGGGGGAGGGGCGGGGGGCGGCACCGCCGCTGTCCTCAGCTGCACTCCCCCGCGCGGGAACGCGCCTCGCCCCGCCCGGAGCGTGCGCATGTGTGTTGGGGGGGGGCGGCGCGGGGTGACATTGCGGGAGCGGCGCTGGCGCGGGGTGACACCGCGTGGTGGCGCGGGGCGACGTTACGGAGCCGCGGTGGCACGTGGAGGATGGAACGAGGCTGGCGCGGGGTGACACCGCGTGGCCGTGAGGGTGGCACTGCGGGAGACCGCCGAGCTGCGGGGCGCAGAGGTGGCACGAAGCGGAGCCTGCGTGACAACGCCGAGCTGGCACGCTGTGACACCGCGGGGCCGTGGTGGCACGTGGAGGATGGAACGAGGCTGGCACGGGGAGGCACTGCGGGACGGCGGCAGAAGCTGTGTGACGGGCTGTGGTGGCACACGGGGGCAGAGCAGATGTGGCACCTGCAGAGACAAACGTGGCAGGACAGAGCAGCTCTCCTTGGGTCGTTAGGGCGCTCCTTAATTAGCCAGCAGTCAAAGTCCTCGCGTGGGCTGAGCAGGCACGTTGCGCGGGCGGCACAGCAGGGACGCGTTGTGCAAGGAATTCAGAAGGGACGCGTTGCGCGAGGAATGCATGAGGGACGTGTTGCACAAGGGGTACGAGACGAGTTGCACGAGCAGCAAAAGTGCTGCGGGTCAGGTTCTATGGGTCAGGAGCTGCGGGACCACGAGAAGGAACGGAATATTTAAGCCTCGCACCAGCAGAGGTCCCTCCGCCCCAGTGAACCGGTGCTACTGGGGACGCTGGGCTACCAGGACGGTTCCGTGTTAGAGGTTAAGGGGGAAGCACAGCGATAAAATAAACGCTTCTCTGTTCCTACGGCTGAATGGCCCGAAGAGGTTCCGTTAATTATTTCGGGGGATCGGACACGGAGACGCCAAGGGATAACGCCGCCATCTCGGGGGCGGCCGCGGGGGGAGTGGGGCCGAGATGGCGGCAGTGGGGGCGGCCCCGGGGGGGTGGAACGAGGGGGAGCTGCTTTGAGCTGAAAGAGGGGTCGTGGAGGGGAATGGGAGGGGGTCCTTCGCTCCGAGGGTGCAGAGCGGAGCCGCGGGTGCCGCCCCGCGGAAGGTGCGCAATGCCACGCGTAGGCTGAGCGGGGGAAGGCGGGGAGAGCGAGCCAGCGCGCCGCGCTGCCACGTGGGACCGCCGGTGGGCGGGGCTACGGAGTGGGCGGGGTCGCGAGGTGGGCGGGGGCAGCGGAAAGCGGCGAGACGGCGGTCAGCGGAGGGCGCGCGGGAAGCCGCGTGGGCGTGGCCTGGAGCAGCCGGGCGGTCCGATAACCGGAAGGGGCGTGGCCACCCGCGGGGCGTGGCCGAGCCCTCAGCTGACCGGCCGCCATTTTGTCGACACCCGCAGGCCGAGCGCAGCCCGCTGCCGGAACCGGGGCTGCCCCCCTCCCTGTGCCGCGCCCCTCATCTCCACACCTCCCGCCCGGGATGTGAGCGGCCCGGCCCGCTGCTCTCACCTGACCGTAGCGCTATTAGGAGCCGCGGCGGCTCGTCCCGCCGGGCACGGCCCCTCCGCGCCCGGCTCAGGCCCTCGGCTCGGCCCCGCCGCCGCCATGGCGCTGAAGATGGTGAAGGGCAGCATCGACCGCATGTTTGATAAGAACCTGCAGGACCTGGTGAGGGGGATCCGCAACCACAAGGAGGACGAGGTGAGCGACCGACGTGTGCGGGGTGGAGGAGACGGGGAAGGGGCGGCCTCGCCCGGTGCCGCTGTGCTGCTCGGCCCGTGGTTCCACGGCGCGCTGTGCTGGCCGGAAAGGCCGCGCTCGGCCCAACTCGGTGCTGGTGGAACTCGAATTACGGAATGCTTTGGGTCGGCGCTCACAGCTCGGGCTGCACGGGCTTTATCAGGGTATGGGGCATCGGCAGGCATAGGGACCTGCAGTGCTGCGCGGTGCCGCTGCTCTCTGGGTGCAGGATTTCCTTTCACGTCTGATTCGTATCTCCTCTCTTTTACTTTGGAGCCGTTCCCCTCTTGTTCTAATGCTGCCTGCACGCGTTAAAAGCTCCTCCTGCTTGAGAGCACCTTAAGGCTGCCTCTGCCTAGAGCGGTGTGGCTCTGCCCCTCTGAGAATCGCACACAAAAATGTACCTTCTTCATCTCGAGGCAGAAAGCAAACGGGCACGTTGGCTGTTATTCTCTGTTCTGTTAGAGGCACATGCTCAGCAAATTAGTGTAGGTTAGATAATTACTCATTAGGAACACGCTGTGTGAGACTTTCTGCATTGACTTTGTAGTGTCATAGGTTAAGTGTTAGCCTTGCTGCCTGTGTCTTCCCAATTATGTTAATTATCAGGTAGATGGTCACACACTTGTGTGTTGCAGCATCTCATTGCCTGCTGAACTGAGGTGCAAACACCACTTCCGAAACCACTTGATCTTTCTGATGGCTTTTAAGCAGATCACTGTGCACAGGATGAGGCGTTTGCTAGCAGTGATACTTGCAGAACCATTCTGGCTGCTAAGGACTGTGTGGTTCCCTGCAAACCACAGCAGACTGGGGGGGGGGGGCCTGGAAGCAGATTGTTGTGGGCTGCTTAATGTGTTGTACTTGAAGCTAGAACAGGTGAAGAGGCCAATAGACACCTGCTGCCTCACACTGAGCTCAAAGCTGATGTGTCACCCCCTGTGTAAGCAAGAGGCCGATGTCACTGACAGGTTTGGGTGGTAACGTGGAGAGGTTCATACAGTGTTGGCTCTGCCTTTTGGAAGCTGGGCAGTAGGTATTCATGTGATGAAATGTGTGTCTTCTATAAGGCTGTGTGCTTTGGAATCCATCAAAGCTTTTGCTTCAGTGGCACAGAAGTGATGCTGGAAGCACACGGCTGTTCCTTCCTGCAGCTCTGGCAGCTCAGCCATCCGTTACCGAGAAGCTGGGCTTTGGTTTGGTGCTTCCCAGGGAGTGGTTGTGGGCATCTTCTAATCCTCACAGGGTGCTAAGATCAGAATGGCGTTTTAGAGGAAGTAGCTGCCGAAAGTCTTCCTACAATGCTCCTGTTGTTCATTGCCTAGTGAGTGTTGCTCAAATATTGAATGGAGTTGTTCAACTGACTTGCGTGTGTCATGAGGTGAGGATCTGAGCCTGAGGCATGCTTTGTCCCATCCAAAAGAGTAAACTTGTGTAAAACAAACGGCATGCTTTGGTGGCAGGGCTCTTAGCTGCTGGATCTCACTCAACAAGAAAGAAAAGTCTTCAAAAGAGGGGTTTAGTAGTAAAATTAAAATGATGCTGGAAGAACCGAAGGCACATCTATGGTTTATTGTTCTGTTTGAGTGATGCTTTTTGTTCTTAAACCTGACAGCTTCCCATCCCTCTGCAGGTGCCATTGCAAGCTTTGCTCTTGTGCTGACGTGCAGAGTGGATGTCGTTCAGGGTCAGATGTGGTCCTGCACAAGCAGTGGAAGTTTCCCAGCAGGTTTGCTGCATTCCAGCTTGGTGCTCATGTGTTCCCACAGTGCTGGGGCCTGGGGGTGCACCCAAGCCCAGCTGTGAGCCTGAAGGAGCACTGCCAGCTTTATGGCAATGCTTGAAGTGTTTTCCTCAGTTCTGCAGAGGAGCTGGGGGTGATGAGCCCTTCAGCCCAGCTCTTTGCTGCAGAGTGCTTAATTACCTGCCAGAGACCATTTTAATTTTAGTTTCTGAGCTATATCCAAAGCTGACCCATTTATTTAGTGTTTCAAATGTTGGAATGGAAGTGTTGGTGTTCTGTGGGAGTGGGACACCCCAAGTTAATGCAGCCACTGCTCAGTGCTGGCGTTCCTGTCTCAGGGAGGCGTGGAGCTGAGCGTTCCTGTGCAGCAAGCACCAGCATGGATGGCATGGCACAGCATTGCTGCGTAGACTTCCTTGTTTAACACACCCTGCTTACTTCTCAACACTGCATGCAGATTCTTTAATTCCTGCACTGTTTCCTGGTGCAAGCTGAAAATCTGAGGAAAAGCCAAATCTGCAAGGTACCCTGCTCTGTGCTCCCTGGGCGTTCCTCTGCTATCTTTGTCTTTTGTTTGTCTTTTGGCTGTGGAAGCAGTGAGTCTTTCATTGGTTCTGCTGTGGTTTTGTGCCATGAGGGACAAACAAGGGGTGTGCTGAGCGTTCCAGGTGTGTGCTGAGCAGCTCAGAGGTGCCTGGCACAGCAGGCTGGTGGAACCCTCACTTCTGAGTGGCTGCTGCATGAGGACAGGGGGCTGGTGTTGCTGCAGAGCCTGCCCAGCTAAGCACGGGGATGCTGCCCTTGGCTGCACAGGTCCTGGCACTTCTCCGCTGCGTTTTCAGATTCAGACAGGTAGGAGGAGCTGTGAGGGATCTTCTACAGTCTTCTGTTCACAGCTGCTGAAGCTGAGCAGCAGTTAGCACTGTGGCCTTCTGGCGATGTGGCTCCTGGCTGCTTTTGCAGCAGTAATACCTAAAGGCGGAGGAGCAGGGCCGGAACACAGCAGGCATTTTGAGGAATGCCAAGAGCACGTTGGTGCCCAGTGCTGAAAAACCCACTTGAGTGCTGGGCAGTGCAGCTTGTCAATGGCAGGCAGCACTCTGTCACTGCTGCTCCATCACTCACTGCTTGTCGTGTGTGTGGCGGAATCTCTGAAGGGAACCCATTATTCCATCTGCTTTGGAGTGGCTCTGAGTTGTATTGTTCATTCTTCATGCCTGTGAGTTGCTGGGAAAAGACAAAGCAGGCGTGG